TTAACACAGGAAAAAACGAATGCTGTCGTCGAAATTTCGCTGAACGAAAGGTATGGGACTTCGTTTCCGGGGGTGCTTGGGGTACAGAGGGGCTTGGTTTGCCGGCTGGATGCCGCGAAGTGGCGTGTACGACGGAGCCAAATGGGTCAATAGTTTTGGAATTAGCAGCCGCATACTGTCGCCGCGAAGCGGCGCGCCGTCCGACTCTCTTTCGGACGGCACTTGTAGGCGCCATTGGAGTGCCGTCGGACGGCACTGTAGACACAGCCTTCTTTTTATCCCTGCAACTTACCAGCGCGGTCAAATTCATCGATAACATTAGATAAGTTAATCAAATACGACGTGAGATTGACAGCACGAACGATCCTAGGCGACTCCGCGGTACTGCCGACAGTAAAATTCAGCGCTGCAGACTCCCGCGGTGCGGAAGACCCTTCCGACATATCTCGAAGTTGGGCGAAGGCGGCTGCGGGCAGCTCCTTGGACGTGTGCTGGGGCGGATGCAGGAATTTCCTGAGGGGGGGGGGGGGGGGGGGGGGGGGGGGGGTCAGTGTACCATATGTTTAGGAACCCCCTCCCCCTCTCCTTCGTTTTACGCCCTAAAATTTACACAAGCAGAAATCAAGAGGGGGGTCAGGACATCCGGACCCCCCCTCTAAATCCGCCCCTGGACGTGTGAGCGGTCATGCTCGTCTAAATAAATAGGTGTGTGCGGAGCTGTTTCAGCTCAGCCTACTTTATCAACCACGTGGCTCATCGGCATTTTCTCTAAACTGGGTTCTCTATAAAGGCATTCGATAAACCGGGGTCGGTAAAACGGTGTTCGCTGAAACGAGCTTCTCTAAACCGCATGCCTCCGAGTGCAGTGCGAACGATAGTCACTGTACGCGGCTTCACTGGCGTGGCGGTTAACCAGTAACACCTTCATCGAATTGACAACCAGCATTCATGAGTACGACGCGTTTAATTGCGAGGAGATGCTCGAGATTATAAAAACAATGACACGAAGAAAACAAACCTTTGGAAGTGTGCGAGACCTGAACGAAAATTCGCGCGCAAGTCTGTGGTCCAAACTTGCGATGGTTCCAGTGATCTGTGCAGTCGACGTACGAAGATCGCGTTATTTAATGCTAGCTAGATTGTACCTCGCACAGTGTGTACTACAGTGATTGCACAATTAAAACAAAAATAAAAAGGGGTTGCAGCCGCTAAAGGGAACAGCCAATGACATCATAGTCACGTCGACCAATAGGGGTCGGCCATTTGGTCGGCGCGCTTTTGTTTTGCAAATTGCACCAGGCCAGGTGACACCACTACTCGTTGCCATCATATGGTTGCCACCCCATGCTGCCACCAGTTGCCACCACTGTGGTTGCCACAGCCGGGAGCGACTGCCCTAATGCAATAGGGTTTTGGTGCTACTGAATACTGAATTCTGATAATAGCAGCAGGACGAACTGGTCAAACACAATCGCCAGGCTCGCTCGACTCTGTGTACAGCAAAGGGACAAAGCATAGAGTTATTATAATGTACGCTAGAGGTTCAAGTGGCGCTAGTGTGCTGACGCAAATTGAAGCAGACAGCAACCAATCGAAAATTGACTTCCGGTAATGCATTTTTATGGGAAAAAGTGAGTGCATTTTCTCCTTGCACTCGACCATAAGAGCAAATATCCCAAATAATTCGTGCGTACTAAGAAGCTTGGAACCAGGGATGGGCAGTATTTCAAATACAAGTATTTGAAATACGTATTTCAAATACATTACCCAATTTGTAATTAAATGCAAAATGCATTTGTATTTAATTACAAATTGGGTAATGTATTTGATGTGTATTTAAATACTAAAACGTGGCTATTTCAAATACAATTGTAATTAAATACAATTTTGTGGGCGAAAATACATCCCTCAAATTTAGTGTCACTGTCCAGAGCAGGAAGAAAATACGTTCTGCACCAAATGTAGTGTCTCTCAATCAAGCACAAGCGTTTAGTGACTTTGTGATTACGGTGCTAGTCCAGAGCAAGAATAGTGACGAAATCGACGTTCACAGGCAGACTGGCTAAATAAGTGCCTGTGACAACTTGTGATGCTTTCCAGCCTGATTTCCATCCATATTTTTGCCTGGAACATTCTAAATGCGCGGGTCGTCCAGATTTCCGTAACTGGTGCGAGTTGCAACAATAAAAAATTCTCTAGCTAGTGCTGCGCGTCTTGGTCGTCTCGGTTTTTTGTTGGTCTATACCAAAATGTAATCGACAAAAAAGGTGCTTGAAGCTCTGTACTTTTTTCACCTATTACGTCCAAGCTGATTACGTTTTTTGTGATTATATTTCTATTACGTTACTAGAGCCTCCCACACTAACTCTCGAGTGTGCGATGCAAAATTAGAATGAAATACCCAGAAACCCGTTGCAGGTGCCCTGAAGTCGCTGACGCAAATTTTGAGGAATGTATTTGAAAAAAGTATTTGGAGGAGACCAAATACATTTGGTTGTCTTTGTATCTTGTACTTAAATGCTTTTTTGGAAATGTAATTAAATTTGTAATTAAATACATTTTTGACGAAGTATTTTGTATTTGTATTTCGATACATATTTGCATGTATTTTGCCCATCCCTGCTTGGAACATTTCTCAGTCAGGCCGACGAAATAATTGGTCAGTTACGGCGTTTTTCTTTCAAATTCATCGCATTAAAAACGGTGCTAGAACGGCTTTGTACGTGTATTCATGTGCACTGTCGGACACACTTAGCGCGAACACGACGTCGGCGCTTTTCAGCATCAGGGATACACGTGCCCATAGGCGTAGACTATGGGGGGGAAACGGGGCTCATGCCCCCCTGGTAAAATCAGGGGAGGGGGAAGGGGGAAAAGCCCCCCCCCCCCCCCCCCCCCGCCCCGGGCCGTGATCCTTACCGAGACGCTGTTTACGTGCCACGTAACGAGCTTCTAGTAGCGGCATGTAAACAAAAAACGCGCACGTTGCCTTTATTGACAAAATACATGGGAAATGGAATTCTAGCGTGTTTTCGTTAGCTTCAATCTCCAGTTCTGGCAAAAAAATAACGCGCAGCACCCCCCCCCCCCCCCCCCCCCCCCCGCCCCCCTTTCCGGGAAATGGAAAGTCTACGCCGCTGCACGTGCCAAACGACCGAAGAAGACGGCAAGAACTACGCAGTAACACTGCATCACTAACTACCCGTGCATGTACGATCAAAATAAATTGAAGGCCACGTAATCTATTCCGACTTTAAATAAGTAAGTACCACTTCTTTCTTTCTGCTCTGAGCGAAGATGTTCGTTCTACGTTCAAAATATCACCCGCACCCTCGAAATCTTTGAGAACAATTGCCCGATAAAAGCTGCCCGGCAGAGAAAACAATGCGAAAAGACACCTTTCATAGCCCACAGGCTGTATTCTCTACGTTTTGAATGTTTTCATCCGCTCGTGCACGACGGGGTCATTTTCTTATAGTGACAGGACTGGCGTATTATCAATATATAAGCGTCTCCGGAATGCTGGCGAGCCTTGAACACACTCTATATTCCTTTCGATTGTAATTTTGCTTTGAATCGTTGCTTGTTTTAACACACCTGCTGCGGAACACACGTTTGGGACTGAAATGTTGCGAAGTTAAACATCGTTCACGGGTTAAGACACTTTTACAGCGTTAAAGGGGCACTGACACCCCAAAGGTCGTATTTATTTTTATTGTCTATAACGATGCAAGTTGCAGTCATAGACACGCAAAAAAAACCGCATCGCGAAAAAAAATTTTCCCGCGCGCGCGCGCGCCTTTTTATTTTTGGCGTTTGATTTTCCCGCCTCTCGCCTCCTCGCTTCTTTTGATCGGTGACGTCAAAAATCAGGAAATTTAGAAGCTTTGTAGGCGACATCTCTATAACATTTAATAGCGGCAATCGTAAAACATGTTTTTTAACGCAATTGCGAACGCACTACGGCCCTTCTTTTTGAAATACCAAAAATCGGGAGTTCGTTGTGGTGCCGTCTCCTGGATTTGTATCCTCCAACGGAAAACAGGCGACACCGCTCAAAACCGGTCCGCCGCAACGCCGCCGCGGCCGCCGCTCACTCCTTTCCTCCTCGCTTTGGGTCGCCATGGCAACAGCAGGGAGTAGTGAGAAGAAAGTCGACTCTCAGGTCGCCGCGATTTTTGACGTCAAGGCACCGGCGCCGATCGCGCGGGAACTTCGAATTCGGCATTTGGAAATTGTTTTTTTACTTCACAAATACTGAATTCCCAAATTTCAAATTTTGAGGGTAATGTCCCGGCATCGTTATCAATCGTTTCGGATAATAAAAAAAAATATGATTTTGATGTGTCAGTGCCCCTTTAATCAAGGTACATACTATTCGGTACGACCCAAATAACCAAAGTGTTCCGTGTTATTTTCCGTCGAAGAGGCAAAATGCACGCGCGTTCTCCCATGGGAATGCACGGGAGCACCGCAAAAGTAGACTGGTTGCTGTCTGCTTCAATCGCTTCAATTTGCGTCACGGAAGTCGCATAGACACTAGCGCCAATTGAACCTCTAGCGTACATTATAATAACTCTATGGGACAAAGCAACATACGATTTTTTCTATAAGCCCCCCTACAGCGTTGGTAAAAGAAAACTAACGGTTAGATAAATCTGAAACAAAACATGTTTTTCCAAGGAATCTGTAATTTTTCTAATATTCAACTGAATTAATGGACCACTGCTGGCGACGCTAGTGGCGGGTTGCGCCACCTGGCCAGTGTTTTTAATTTCAAGTCGGCTTTTGTAATTTTCCCACAACTTTGTTTCATCCAGACGTTCCTTACCTTCCACTAGTGTTTGAACCGTTTGAACAAACCGAACTAATTTGTTAGGCCTCGTCATTATTAAAGCGCTTTAATCAGTATCAGCGTATCAGGCGTTTGTTTCTGCATTTCTGCGGTTTCTACCGCTGCGGGTAGGTGGGTCCCTCTTTCGGAGGGCTCTGGAGTGTTGGTTTCCGCAAGAGCGTGTGAACCGGGTGAACGGCAGTGACGATTGACGCCACAGCAGACGCCGCACAAGAAACACAACAATGGCGGAGCAGGCGAACTTCTCCTCGGGGAAGGGTTCAGAATCTAAGCCAGAATCAAACAAGTCTTCTGCAGGCGATCACGTTCCCGATCCGAAAAACATCCAAGATCTGACTCAATACGTAAGTCTGGGTGCGTTCGAATGGGGCATGCCGCAACGCAACGCCGTTTTCGAGCTGCTCCATCGCTCCGTTTCCAGTGTTCAACCAATACGCCCGCTTTTATTTTCTTCGGGACGTATCCGTGGAGGCAGTGATCACACCGGCTATTTTTTGCCTGTCGTACGTTAGTTCGCAACATGCACAGCACAACCGCCCGTCGGATGGGAATTGCACCCGTGGTCGTCTTCATTCAATGTGGCTTCCCGCGCTTCGTCACCTTGTCTCACATTTACCGTGCACAACACATTTCGTGTCTGATTGCGAAGTTCTGCCCCAGTAAAGTACTCGTTCTACTGTCATCGCACCACCTCTTCCCCTCGTTGCGCAAAGCACCGCTGGTAGCACTTTTTGCGAGACATCAAAAGGTAACCGTGAAACTATGGCTATCCTTTTAATTCCAGATGAATGTGAGTGAAGTTTTATTTTTCAGCATCATTTTCATTGTGTGGCCTTCCAATTTTAGTTTCAATTTAATGGTTAAATAATAGGAAACCAATTTTAAATGCATTAATGCTACTTTTTTTTTTTTATATCACGCGTAAAGTAGTAATATTAATAGACGTTATGTAAAGACAGGACAAACAGGTCTGTTCAGATGTGGTCTTCAGTCATCAGTTCTTCCTTTTTCTCCCGCCTTCCCTTCGTCTTTTCCCTCCTCATCCGTACTTCATTGTCCAACGAACTACCGTAAAATGCAGAAGCACCCACTTCTGAAGAACTTGAGATTGGGCGAGTTGGTTGTTCATGTTTGTCGACGTTTAGCGCACTCGAAATACTGTCACTCAAGCATTCCCACTCACCCAAAGAACACTCCTCTCACACAGCGCTCACTAACAACTTTGTATTTCGTGTTTTACTTCGGCTTTTACTACTTCAGATTTTAGACGATTTGCATATAGAAAAAGACGACATAAGAGTAAAAAATTCCTGTCTAACGCTTAGGCTAATTTGCGGCGTCAAAAGATCCCCAGGTGGTCCAAATTAATCCTCAGTCCTCCGCTGGGGCGTGCCAGATGCCCGTCGTTGGTTTGGCACGTAAAACCCCCAAATTTGAATTTTTTAGGCTAATTTGCGGCTAAACAATTAATCTCTTTTCGTGATAATGTTATCGACGGCATACTAACACATTTGTCCTCTAGTCGTATGATGTTCTCGGCTTCGATGATTTCCCTTTCTAATTGGTTTACACTTTTGCCCAACACGATGCTGTTGTTGAAATGTGCGACACACCCACAATCCCGACAGTGTATCCCCAAGTGGCCAGAGTTGGCGTTTACAATGTTGTTGGAGTGTTCTCGAAGGCGGTCATTTAGGCATCGCCCAGTTTGTTCAACATATTGTTTTCCACAGGAAAGGGGGAATGAATAGACAACCCCCTCAACGCAAGGCACAAAGTTGGTCCTATGCTTCTTGGAGCAGCAGATTGCGGGATTTGAGGGTGTGGTGCCGTTTTTGCAAAGGCTGAACAGTTTGGTGGGTGCTGAAAACACGATGTCCACATTGACTCTGTTCGCTGTTTTCTTGAGGCCGTGGGAAAAATTGTGGATGTAAGGGACGATGACTGATCTTCTTGTCCTGTCTGTGTGTTTGTTTGACACAGTTCTCTTGCTTCATTTCTTTAAGAATAGTTTCGACCACTGACACCAATAAGAACACAGGGTACCCTGCTGACTTCAGTCTTGCAATTTGCGCGTCGAAACTCTTTTGTATGGAATGCGAGCACGACTTTGCGGTTGAGCTCTTAAGGCATGACCGCACTATGCCTCTTTTCACGAGTTTTGAGTGCGCGGAGTTGAAAGGGAGGAGTGGTTTTTTACCCCTGGGTTCATAGAACCAGCAGACGTGGTGAGGTAGCACCACCAGTCGGAGATCCAAGAATCTTAGGGATCCTTTAACCGGCAACTCGTGGGTGATTTCTAGGGGATGATTTCTAGGGTCCTATGCTCCAAGAATCATAGGACCAACTTTGTGCCTTGCATTGAGGGGGTTATCTATTCATTCCCCCTTTCCTGTGGAAGACAATACGTTGGACAAACTGGGCGATGCCTAAATGACTGCCTTCGAGAACACTCCAACAACATTGTAAACGCCAACTCTGCCCACTTGGGGATACACTGTCGGGATTGTTGGTGTGTCGCGCATTTCAACAACAGCACCGTGTTGGGCAAAAGTGTAAACCATTTAACAGGGGAAATCATTGAAGCCGAGAACATCATACGACTAGAGGACAAATGTGTTAGTACGCCGTCGATAACATTATCACGAAAAGAGATTAATTATTTAGCTGCAAATTAGCCTAAGCGTTAGACAGGAATTTTTTACTCTTATGTTGTCTTTTTCTATTTGCAAATCGTCTAAAATCTGAAGAAGTAGAAGCCGAAGTAAAACACGAAATACAAAGTTGTTAGTGAGCGCTGTGTGAGAGGAGTGTTCTTTGGGTGTGTGGGAATGCTTGAGCAACAGTTTTTCGAGTGCGCTAAACGTCGACAAGCACCCACTTCGTTCAGGCACCCACTATTAATGTTTCCCAAACTTAGGAATTCTGCAGATTACCTATATGTTAACCGCCCGATTTGACCTGACAAGTGCCCATGTCTAGATTAACCACGTTTTCAGTGAAAATAAGGTGGGCGTACCGCCGGTATTTTACATTAAGCATAATATTATCGACCAGAAGGCACTTACGCAGAGTCGTCATAGTTGTAGGAATTATGGGAGTGTCGTCTGTGTCGTCCCTTTTATGTATTTCTTTCGTTACTGTGTTATTTCCTATCAACGTGCTCAACTCACCAAGTCTGCATTTAGTATGCTTGACCTTCGAGCCTGGAAGGGAAATTACACAAAATAGTGTCACATGAAGACCTGTTGCTGACATTTTGGGTCATTGCGGAACTGCCTGCTTCAGGCTGAAGACGCAAGTGCCCTACCAGTTTTGAGCGGGACCTTGAAACCAAACACGAAGCTGGTAGGAAGAACTCGAAAAATAAACTCCTGGTAGCATCAGAGTGGCAGCTGACATTTCACCAAGCTAAGTCAGGACTGAAAAAGAAAGTCTCTTAGCAAAATGTCTGCTACTACCACTCTGAGGTTTCCAGGAGGTTCCCAGGAGGTTCCTCTTCAAGTTGAGCAGGATCTGGGTTTCATCTGCATCTCTAGATGCCTGCAGAGCAAAGTTCTAGAGTTAAAATTTGGAGCAGTGAATTTTTGAACTGCAAGTCCACCAGCTTCTGGGGCATTTCACTACACCAAGAAGCACATTCAAGTTTTTTTAATAAACTTGCCTCATCTCTGCCATAATACATTTTAATTGGTTGCTAGTCAGCGCTGTGTACTGTTTTGTCTTTACCTTGTCCGTTTTCCGCTGCGCTGTTTTACCCCTAAATGTTATTGTCACATTGCTAACTGCATCCTATGTGAAGTTGTGGGAGCAAACTTTTCTGCATTGTAGATTTCTCAGCTTTAGTTTGACATCCTCTTTCCTGAGCCATCCATAAGTGGAATGGCCTCGCTTAGTCATAGAAAATTCAGGTTAGTTTTGCCCTCTGACTACCTCATGCTTACGGTGGTTTCCACTTCCAATCTAATCAATTTATAATGTCTTCCTTATTTATTTTGTTGATGCAACATCCTACAAACTGACCAGGTCAATATTCATCCCAATGAAAATAGTGCCATTCCTCATTTTAAGATTGTGCCGTTTGTTTCTCCCATTGACTTTTGTCTGCAAGAAATATTTGTATCTTTATACTTAAAAATATGCATGGGGAGAGCATCAAGAAAAATTTTGTATGCATTTGTTTACTTTTTGTGATAGTAATAATGATAGATAAGAACCTGCATAAGAAACCAGGTTCTACTTCGATCCATGAACCCATGTGTCTGCTGAAGTCCTGGCAGCCAGCATGTGACTGACTGCTTGTTTTTTTTTTTAGGGAAAGTTGCAAGTATCTTTTTTTCAAGGTGACAGAGGAAGGTGCAAATGCTTCAATACTATCGGATCAGCATAAATAGAACAAGAGTCTGTTGACGACATGAAAGGCAAATTCACTGCTCCAGTGCTGGTTTAGATATACTTGAGAAGCAGAAGAGCCAAACTGCACAAATCATGATGCACTTGTTTACCATCACATCTTTTTCCCTTTACTTCCATTTAGGTGCAGACACTACTGCAACAGATGCAAGACAAGTTCCAAGTGATGTCAGATCAAATATTGTCAAGGAATATCCTTTGCTTGGTGTCAAGAGATTTTCCATATTGTGTGTGTGTATGTGTACGCGCTTCATCTGCAAGTTTCCTTAACCGCAAGTACTTGATGAAATGGGCCATCGGATTGATGACCTGGAAAGGAATATCACAGAGCTAATGTCACAAGCGGGAGTTGATGAAGCTGACAAGTGATTTCCCTGTTGATGCCTATCCAAGCCTGTACAACAAAGTACCTGTATTCTGTATAGAAATTTCCCATTTTTTTTGCTCTTATATAACTGCCAGAATGTTTCCTCAGTGATTGTTGTAACCATGTAATGTGCAGTGTGCATGTTTTACATTAAAATTCATTGTTTGTGTGGCTCCATTTGCTCGACAAGTTTTGGAGCTGCTAAGAAGGAATTTCTCACCCTCCATCGATCCTGCAGAGTAAGGATCATGGCAGCGAGAAGCGACAAATTTCTGGTATAACCGTACAAAATCAGTTTGCTTACTTGTGCACTAGTGGCAGTTGTCACCTTCGAAGCACTCTTGCAAAGCAATGCACCTTGCAAGATGATGGCGACATTACCAAAACCGTTCTTGTAATTCTTTTGTTAAGACCTTGAAGTAGTGCGTTACACTGAATGTCAACAAATGTCTGGGCATTTACAGCAGAGCTGGTAAGGGCTAGTTTCCCCAGGATCATGTTTGGTGCCAAACAGATGTTGACACAACTCTCTGGTTGCCGCCGTCGCTCATAGATGGCGGTAGCTGTCCAAAGTGTTGAGTCTGCCAGTCGTCTCCTTGCTGCCGTCGCTCATAGATCGAGGCAACCTTTCCAGTCTCGGCAATCAGACGAGTGGTTGCTGCCATCGCTCATAGATGGTGGCAGCATTTCTTCGGAGGATGAAGAGCGGGAACGGAACGAGCGGCGATGTGCACAGCAGTGCAAATGGTTCCCCAACCGCTGCGAGGCCACTATTGCCTAAAGTTACACTGTGTCGAGCGCTTCAGATTCCCTTGCGAAAGAACAGCAGATCGCTCGCCTGGAAAGCCACCGCCGAAAACGGAAACTACAGCTCCGCTGCTCTTCCTTCACCAGAATAAAAAATTTTTTTTTTTTTTTCCTTTCCTATAAAAAGTTGGTAATTGCAGGGGCTGATTTGGGGCAATAGGTTGGATTGCCCATTTTTGTAATGAATTTCTTGGCCAAAAACTTGTGGCATCATGCTTAGGGGTTTTGTCAGATGGAAAATTCATTTAGGTCAGAGTTTGAGTCTCCTCCTACAAACAGGTTACCATAACCATGTGAACACATTTAAATAAAAAAATGTCCTTTATATTTGTCGGCTCTATATTTAACACATTTTGCAAAGTGGGGATTCTGGCAATTATTTGAATGCACAAAATTGAGATTTAGAGTGATATGCATTTCTTAGCATGAGGTGATATGCCTGCATGATAGAGTTTTTGCAGCACCAAACAAAAAAAAGCATGGTCTAGAACTGCGAGACTTCCGGGCTTTCTCTTTGGCAGAGCTGCCCACTTTGAGTCATTGGTCATATCTTAACCTTCAAGACTCCCTGTGACACTTAAAGGCACCATTTCTTCACAGCAGGTTTACCATTAGCTATTGTCAATAGGGCACTTTTGCCAACAATCTGACAAAACTTGCACTGCTCCAGATTCCTGTCACCGATTTTCTGCCAACAATGTAACCCTAACACATGTACAACTTCCTCTGCTGCTTGCACAAGTTGGAAGATGTCTGGACCTGGGACCGGACATTTCATCGAACGCCGTTTGATTGAACGCTGTCTTATCGAACACAGTCTTATCGAATGCCGGGGTGGCATTCCCGCCTCCTGAAGCTAGTCGGAGGTGCCCATCCCGGGTTCGGGAAGTTTTTGACTTGCATTGCCGCAGTACACTGACGGAAGACAAGCTGGAGGCGATGCTGAGCTCCCAAGAGCCTCCTCGCCAGAAGACCATAGCGGCAAGAAATGAGAAGGTCCACCTTTTTTATGAGAACCGACGGAGCATGGCTGTGGGGGACTTTTTGAGAGCAATTGCTTATCATTTGAAACAATGAATGGCTGTTGCACGAACACATGAACCCCCAAAAGTTTTTAAATAAAATTTGAAGTGACATACTTACTTTTGATTTCATCGAGTCTTACAAGTTAAAAAAACAATGTTTCGTTGTAGTTTCATAAGTAGCACCTCAGCTTTAGCTACTGCAAGCTTCGGGCAGTAAAAAAGTATCAATAGCAAGACATGAGAGGCTAGGAGGCTCACATGGCTAAAGTTTCTGTGCTTGAGCAAAACCTAATTCGCCTTCTGGCCTCGCATGAGTTGGAGTGCGCTCTTACCGGGAGGGCGACTTCTTATTTATTTGTTACAATACCCTCAAGGCCCATCGGGTAATACAGAGGGGATGAACAGACAAGCACAATATGCGAAACAAACACAAAAATCAGTACAAGTATCCTCATTGGTTACTTTCATCAAAATAAATTGCTACAGCTACAAGTTTGGACATTAAAAAATCCGACGATGAAATGAGATGACACGAAAATGCACTTGATCCGTGCATAAAAGAGCATCTTCCACACTTTTTATATAAAAGACATTCAATGAAACGTCCATTTTTTCGATGAAACTGCGTTCAATGAAATGTCCGGGAACCGTCTGGACCCGCTCAGGTAGGAATGTTTCTCCGATACACTGCCCCACGCCACACTGCAGTCATTCCAGAAACAAATTGGAGCCCATGATGGAGCAGCTTGGCAGCTCAACTTTATTTCAGACACTGGTCTGGGTAAATTTCCTTAGACTGCTAGTTTCCAAACCACAATTCCAAGCTGCAAGAATCCTGAAATACCACACCAGGTTCAGCTATGACAAACCTATTTGCTGCCAGTCAATTCAGCATCCACTTGAGCTGCAGTCCAGACAATACAGGTGGGCCAATGGATGGTGCCTTCTGTTGCAGATTGAACAGTAGAGTTTCTTGCTTTCATCTAGCAGACGTGCATGCCAAGGCTACAACCACAAGGCACATAGAACATGGCTTTGCAAGCCACGAACACACCGCACAAATTTGCCTGGCAGTACTGAAGCTAAATACTTCGCAGGTGCTCTAGCGCAGAGGAATGGATGCCACAACTAAATCGAGGAAGTGCAGCTTCGTGCAAGTGTATGGAACACCCAATATGATGCCTGCCACAGTAGATGTACCACTAACACTTCGTAGCTCATACAAGGGTGCAGAAGTTTTGCACAAGTGTCCCTTTTCTAGGCTCTGGAGAGAATATGCAGGGATGTTTAGTATACGAGCATGCCCCCTACTATAGTAAAAACATCGACCAAACAGCACTGTTGTGTTAGGGTTTAGAGTTTTGACGGGGTTTATTTTTCTTTAAATTTAGGGGGGGGGGGGGTTCTTCGGGGTTTATATTTTTAGACACTCGTGCTGATTTCTGGTGTGCCACGTTTATCAGGCTTTAAAGGTACACTTGCAGGGTATTTATGCTTGCCAAGGTTATTTGTACATGACACACGAGACCTCAACTACCCAAAACAAAATTTGCAGCTTGAAATTAGTTTCATTTCCACCCGAAAACTGCCAATATAGGACTGGCCGGTTTGAGTCGCGCTCAATCTCTTCTCCGTGGTCACCTGCCATTTTCTATGGTTCAGACACAACTAAAAGATAAAACTCGTGGGTCATCGAAGGCGCACTCAATAGCAGATATCTGCAAAAATTGGAGCCCTTTTTTTTGTTTTTGTGGCTTCTAAAAAGCTGCAAATTCTAGGTGGCAGCACATATTTGGCAAAAGGTGGTGGCTATAAACTTGGGGCAAACCCCCAGAAATTATTATGTTTAGAACTTCAAGAAATTGATCTGTGAGGAATTACAGAATTCAGACATCTCACCATGTCTGAAGGGATTTAAAGAGTAGATTCAACATCACACTTGACGCTTATACCCACATACTGGATTTGTGAATACAACTTTATCTGCAAGGCACACTGATGAAGGCACAAGGTGTTCTATTCAGCAACGATAGATCTGGGCAAAGCCAAAAGGCATCCAACCCAGACATAAAAGGAACAAGGCTTGTGTACAGACAATTTTAATGCAAACAAGATCACAGGCAGTGTGGAAACAGCACGCACAGCGGCCATAAAAATACACATCTTTAAAGCGATACACATGTAAATTATCTTGCAAGAGCCAACTTTCAATTAAGTGCCAACCAACATCATAACACAGTCCAGGAAACAGCTGAAATTAAAGGAACTGCACTTGCAGCAGCATCAAGAGGAAACACCAGACACAGAATACTGAAGGAGGGCAAAGGGCACCACTGTTCCATCAGTCACAGGGAATTAGGAACAAATACCAGCACAGCACTAGGGAGATTAATGGCAGATCCTCAGAAGAGCATTTTCTGGGGAAAAAACAAACAACCAAGGTTCAACTGGCAGGGCTGCAGAAGTAATGCTTGTTACCCACACGTTTACGTGTCAAAATTGGAGCTTCCATTACATTACCAATCCGAAGACTGACACTACCCCTTCTCGATATGTCTTTAGAAAGATGTATACTTCTCAAACTGCCCTACTCCAATACCAAAAACTGGCCAGTTCATTCGAAAAAATACAGGAACATCTCAAAAATACTTTTCAACCACAGACGAAGAATATCCATGTTTCAGGTTTGTCATTGACAACGTGGAGCATAAGACAACAATTGGATTCACACAGATCGCCTGGAGAACACCCGACAAACACAGGTTCAAGAGCTGCACAAGAGGGAATGTCATCCGAGCATAGATTGGGGAGAGTGATTACTCAAGATTAGGGCGCATGTGCGAGACCTAACCTCAACAGCTCCAAAGCAAATTCCAGACAAGATTGAGGAGTAGACAGAGGCTTCCTTTGACCACCATGCAGTTTTTTTTCTCTCTTGTGCCCTTGCACAGTGCTGCAGGAACAGGCCTTCAGACTCCTGGCACAGGAAGATGTTTAGCTCGCATCTGTAAAATTCAGGGAGGACATCAGAGATACTAAAAGAAACCAGAACTTCTTTGGAAGTCTACATAGATACATGGAGCGTGTGACTCCATGTTTCAAAAAGCCCCATATTGGGAGAGTTACATCACATCAACGGTGGCAGAAAAGGACAAAAATCATGTAGTAATCACCGTTCGAGTTCTCTCCCACAATGCATCGCACTCTCAGGGTGTTGTACGGAGAACTGGACTCAAACGAACGTGCCAAATGCACCGAGTGCAGAAGACTGAAGCTGCCGCCATCTATGTTGTAAAAAAGGTACCAACCTCAAACCGAAACTAGCGCCTTTCTGTTCGGAGTGATGGGTGCAAATGCGAGAGTGCAGTTGCTACCAACGTTCATCTACAAACGTTGGTCACTGCAAGCTGTAGTTTATATATGCAACGACTTCAAGCAGCTCGGCTGCCGTAGAGATAGTTATAGACGGCGGAAATTTCCGCAACCAACTGTCTACAAAGCAGCTGGTTGCGATTTTTCAATTCTTATAACCGTTTACACTGAAGAAAACTGATGATGCAGTATGAGCAGAAGCTTGATCTGTTTGAGGATGGTATTATGCGTAAACCACTGAAAGGGTACGGCATAAAACTAGTCTGTTGGAATATCCAGCAAAAGTTTTCGTGGGACTTTTGATTTCGATCATCATTACAGGTGGATCAGATATTAGCCTAAGTGAGGGCGTCGAGAACGAGAGCTTTCTCGAACAAAATACGACGGGGCAAGTTAGCTGACGTAGGTAAATGTTTAACATGATGATGCCCAAGCCTCGCGTAAAGTCACCATGTTTAGCTTTCTCTGATGCTTATTGGGCAGTCAGAGGTTTCTGCTGGGAGAGTTTTGTCGACAAACGTTAAATTTTTCACCTGCACACAGATGGTAATAAACATCTCGGGGGCCGCTAATGTGTTTGTTCTGAGCATTTCTTTACACACTGGTATATTTCAGCGTCTGTACGGCAACAGAGAGACTTAAAATCTGCAAATAAAGCATAGTTTGTCAATTGCTTCCTTCATGAATAGCAGACGTGCACAACTCAAGCTCGCGTCCGATTCCGTCGCCCGCGATTTTAAAATCTACTTTTTTTTTGTCCTTTCGGTTCTGCGACACATCGTAGCAAACGAACCCTCGTCTGCTCCTGCTCCTCGCCGGAGCGAGGCATGACGGCATTGCATTTTGGCGCACTCCAGATTTTCTCGGTGCAGCGAGTGCATGCATGTGTGGGGTATCAGCACTGAAACAAACTCTGAGTGCAACCACTCGTGGAGTGCTGGCTGAAACGATCCCGCTCCACGCTGCGAGTGGGCACGCGTGGGCACGAGTGCCGTGAAACAAACTCTATAAGCTCTAAAGTAAAAAGTCAAATTCAGGGGTTTTATGTGCCAAACCAATGAAGGGCATCTGGCACACCCCAGCAGAGGACAGGATTAATTTAGACTATTTGTGGATCTTTTCACATGCAACCGAAAATTGTTACCTGGCGCCTTCTCTGCAATAAGCGTCTGTCGCGATTCAAACCCGCCACCCGAGGATCACTAGGTCGGCACATTGCCTCCGAGCCGGCTAGAGCTCAAAAGTAGTTTAACGACTAGATTGGCATGACCAGGGAAGCAATGATCTAACCTTATTAAGTACAATATTAATCCATTGGAAGTTCATTTTCAGCTGAAAAAGTTTGTCACTTCATCACTTGATTAGCGTTATGTAGCATAACCAGTGGTTAAAGTCTGGAATCTCGGACCCCTCCCCATGGATTTCGAATGTGGGGGGGTGGGGGAAGGCGGAGGGGGGCGGGGGGGTGTCCGAGACCCCTTTGGGGAGTACCAGAGCTGTATATTGAGTTTGGCCATTCATTGGAAAGTATAGGGGGCAAATGGGAAGGCACCATTGGCCGAGAGCGAGCTGGGCGTGCTCCAGGGAGTCTTTACAGATTCGTATGTGGCCAGTCAGAAGCGCGAATAATGCCCTGGCAGTGGTTGCGAGAAACAAAACAGGTGCATCAGAGCAACCAACTGAAAATATGGTGCACAAATTTTTTCGATCACGGCCATGCAAAATCTAATTCTGGGAGAACAATCGACGTGATGCATACACCAGGAGCCGAGGGCCGGAAAAATGCCGTCCAAGTGGTCAGAGGACCGAGCAAGAAGAGTGAGCGGCACATTCGATTATTGCATCCTTTTGCACAATCATAATCGAAACATCACGTGCACTATATTTTCAACCATGAAGAATCTCTCCATTTAACTCTTACGCACTTGTTAAAATTATTTTTCGCTATACTGTTTCACCTTGTGTTGTACCGCAGGAAAGGCCAGAAGCGCGAGCTCCTTGCTCTATGGCACACCTCGGCGGCACAAGCTCTCGTGCACCAAGGGCAGCTGCCAACGCTATGAGCTCGCGCTTCTAGCCTTTGCTGTGGTACAACATAAAGTGAAACGGAGTATACCATCGCTAGGGGATTATTTTCGGCTTCTGGTTGGCCAATAGGGCACGTCACGCCTTCTATCTGCATCTCATGCACACCCTGGCTCTGCTTGCTCCTCCCATTGACTTAACTATATACGGGTCTGGGGAGTACATCCAACCATCGCAACCCTAGCAGCAAAGTTGAGAACTTAACCAAGAGGTACATCATGAATTATTTCAGTGTCTTTCTAATGCAGCGTTCGGATGCATGTAAGGAAGGCTGCTGCTTTAAGCCTAAAGGAGTCTCAAGTGCGCGAATACGCCTAGACGAGAGATTAGACAGAAAATGAAGCCTATAAGATCCCCAGCCATACCTGATGCAAGGATTTAATGGACACAAATTGTTGGGGCGTGCATGCACCATCCGGCTTTGACGGTGCTTTTCTTTTAAGAATGGAATTGCGATATTCATAGTTTTTAGCGTTGATAGCGGCAGGTTACCCCATGGAGTGCGCTTCTTGCCGAGGACCAGTGCAGAGGGGAGAAGCAACACCCGCAACTGTTGCTTCTCCGCACTGTACCCATGCTCAGCAAGAAGCGCGCCGAACGGAGTCTAATCTGCCGCAATAAACACTTGGAAATGTATGAATATCACGGTTAGTCTCGAAGCGAACATCAAAGAGTATTGTTCGAAAGTACTAGTATTTAAAATTTTTAATATTCCCACAACACTAATGCATATATTTCCCTTTCCAGGCAAACCACCTTTCAAAAGTACCTGCGGGCATCTGAAGCCTGCCCAAAACTTTCTGGGAAGGGCCAGTGCTCAACACTGCCACCGCATTGTTCAAAGATATTGAATTTAATGGCACCCACTTGCAGGGGGTGACTGTTCCTCTTTGGCATCCTTTTCGGTATCGGTGCTTTCACCAGAAGGCACTGTGGCCTTTCCATCCTTGTCCTTGCCCTTGGACTGCAAAAGGCACAGAGGCCAAACTTTAGCTGTGTACAAACACACAACACGAAGCAAGAAAGCAAGCCTTAGAGCCATAGCAACTAAACTACTTCGGTTTAAGGGGGGACACTACCCAGAAAAGTCAACTTCTGTACTGCTTGCTTGATTTCAATTAAATTTGCAGAGGAAGTTTATATGAGTAGCAAGACCGTTCCTGCCGAATTTCATTGTCCTATGTCAATTCTGAAACTTAATATGCATATTACAATATGGAAGTCAGTGTTTGCTTAGGAAAACTATCATTTTAAAATAAAATAAGAATGATTTTTACGTGCAATATAGTCATAAATACTCTTAAGCACATACCCAGCTAGTTATTTTGCTATATTGCATTGTTTTTCACAAGCATAGCTCCACAAGAACATTAAAATTTTTTTTCATGTCTGCATTGTTTACAAATGTAGTTTTTCTAGCATAAAAGAATGTTAAAGTAGAAAAACTAACCAGCCAGGCATGTCCCTCACAAAGCTACCCCAGAAAACCACTTAAGAATAATAGACCGATCTTATCAAGCGTTCGGCGCATGCGTGACGCCGCCATAACTTTAGTTCGCAGGAGGCAGGCAGCAGTGCACAAGACTGCTCGTGCCGCCTCATGCTCCACACGTGCAGACCTCCAGCGAGGTTGTCTCACGTGCAGAAAGACTAAAGCTCCCTCGATGCATTGCGGCAGCGGTGGCAGAGTCGAACTGGCTAGTGAGATCGGTCTATTCTCTTGTGTAATAGGAAAACGCTAGTTTTCAGCTAAAGTGAAATTTATGCCAAAAGTGGAATGTAGAAAAATTCATTCAAAGTGCTCCAACCCCTACCTTCTCTTTAGTATCGGTGGACTGAAAATAATTTTTTTTTATTATAAAAAATTAACTATGCAGTGTCAACTTATGAAACTTTCGGAGAATACTCTAGATATTGGTGGATGTAGATATGCCATTTTTTCAAAATTAACTTTTTTGCCAAAACTTTTCTTGGTGGTGTCCCCCCTTAAAAGAGTAAGCAATCTACAAAAGCATGTACACAAGTTAAGGCTTTGCATGAACTTGGGATTAGTATAAAGGTAGCGAGCATGGCCACTAGAGAGTGCACAGCAATACCAAAGCATTGGAGCATGAGCCAGTTGTAGGACGGTCCCCGCACAAACCCGAATAGGTCAAAACTAAAACTTTCCAAGTGACTGATGCAAGACTAGCTTAGCAAACTGATCCACCCCACTGCTCGACACATGAATACTTCTGGCGACATATTCTAAATAGGCGCTGCCACCTGGGTGTGCAACTGGGTTAGAGGTTGAGTGGCTAGAAAATGCGCTTGCAAGCATCTCCAATCCGTTCCACCACGCGAGTATTTGAGTACATGCATACTACTAAACGTCTGGTGCAGCTGTTGGCACACTGAGGCTCTCCGACCTAGATACAGCTCCCCCCAAAATCACTTTCCCCCCACTGTGGACCGTCTTTTCTCTCTGCTCGACCAGTGGGAAAAGAGGGAGGGTGCGAAAACGTTCACTCGCACACATTTCTAAAAAAAAAAAAATCGGTGAAAGATGACAACGCATGGATACTGCTTGGATGCAAAAATGTGAGGCTTTTCTTGCAAGGTTAAATAAATGCAATAGTGGCAATCAGTGCTGCTTCACTTGGTCTGAACAGCAAGTTCAGATTTTGCACATGTTTAACACCAATTGAAACAAATTTCAAAACACATTTAGTAAAAAGGACACAATCTAGATATTCTGGTGAAACACACGAAGAGAGAAAGGAGTTTATTATTTGTGAAGTCTGTTTCAAGTTGCATACAACCTCTTGGAAAGATACTGTCTTGGTACTGCACCATTTAAAGAACTGGCTTATGGGCCACTGCTATAAAGCAAAGCACGTCCACTAAAATATAGGGTTAGTGCACAGCCAGCTAGTAGATGTAAGCATCTAATTGCAAGCAATGAAACATGCACCTGGTTAGTGTAAGGGAAAAAAACAAGGAAACGGTGGAGTGCTCACTTTGAAACTAAAACGGCGTGGGTGCGCATCAGGTGTGCCTACCTTCTCAGGCTGGGGTTTGGGCTTTGGTTCCAGGCTGGGGTTCAGGGTCAGCTTACCAATGTTCTTGTGGTCATGCATTTTCTGCATGGCCTCTGCCACCTGCACGCAAACAGACCACAGATTGGAGCACTCAGTATCAAGGAAAAACACTCGAGTGGATCTGTGCTACTAAACAAAACCTGGCATTGGCATTTTTGTGCCAAACCAAAAAGGAGCATCTGCACGGCCCAGTGAATGACCGGGGTTCTCAGAGGCAACAGAAACTTCACTTGCCCATCATCTAGATTGTTACTAGTAGGGTTCAATGTTTTCGGTCTAAACAGCAAAAGGTGAGCCAGATTTATCTTTCAAAATTCAATTTGAACCGATAAAGGCCCATATCTTGGAGTATGGCAAAGCCAGCAAGCTGACTAGTGTTTGGGCTGGGCAATTCTTGTGGTCAGCTTATCTTGGGAATTGTCATTTGTTGGGCAGGGTGGGGTTCACCAATTAATTTTGGGGGTTAATGTCTGGCCTTGTCAGGTGGACAAGACTTTGAGAACTTTTGCATATGTCAAGCACAGCCCTGAGCAGCAGTCTTGGAGTGAATGGAGATTGTGCACATATTGTACGAGTAGTGCACACACGTGCACCAAAATGACTCAATTTAAAGAATAAATGTCGAACCTTAGCTGCAAGCTTATGAAATTGCAGGCATGCATCATTGGCTAGCGGCACTTATTTTCATCTGCAACCATAGTCTTAGGATAGACAAACATCAATTGAGACAATCCATTTTAGTCACCCGAGCTGAGAACCCTAGAATTAGCTTCCATCGCAAAACAATAAGCAGATAAAGCTACCTTAGTAGAGACTAAGCACGCCATCACGTGCACCGGGACTGGTATGTAGGCCGCAGCCATTCAAGAGCGGCAACGGTGTCATCAAGCTCAAAAACAGTTTTTACTTGTTGTAGCTACTTTCACTATTGGGCAGGAGATCGAACTATAGGGGGCGCTCTGACCCGTTTGTTTTCCCCACGCTTGGTGTTTACTGAACAGAAGGCCTGTGCACATGCCGACAGGCCTTATGGGCATGTCCATGTCATCTACGAAAGAGCGCGGGACACTGTTTAATGTAAAAAATACTAACAATCACCGAAGCGGCGTTAAGTGCCGGATCTATCCTCAGAGAATGCGAGCTTGACCCACTTCGGCTTTTGTGCTGAGCTGGGACCGTGCATGCTGCATTGTTCATGCAGGCCGTAGTGCAAACAAAAGAGCCCCTCCTCCCCCTCACCGGAGAACACGAACTCCAGCCGAACGCTGACGCCGCGTTCGGGTATGTCAACCGAGCGCCGAGTCATTGTATTTGTTGTCCCCATCCGTGTAGTTGTAAAGATAACCGCTTGGGGCATCACGGTCAGTCCTCCTCCCCAACACAGTTGAAACTCGATTTAAAAAAACCCGATCTTACGAATTTCTCAACTTGAAAAATTTGGATTCCCCGCGCAGCCTACGTGCAAAGTCTCCCTTCCTCGATTTTACAAAGACCCCGATTTAACGAATTAATTAGCGGGTCGCAGTGACTTCGTTGAATCGAGGTTCAACTGTACTGTGCAAAGCTACAGGGTATAAGTCATTTGGAAACTAACTATAACTATAATAACTTGAACAATGTGGGTTTCAGCTAATTATGCGTAGACTCATTTGAATTTACCACGTTTGACATCTGGTGGCAAAGATGGTTGCAATGTGTGGCAGGGTGCCCCAGGACTGCACCAGAAGGAAACCACACTGCAATGCTAAGCAAATGCTCACCCAAAATAATCAAATGAACAGTACTGTGAATTTTCCACATAACAAATTTTCACGTTACGACAAATTCGAACCTTGCAAATTTTCACACTAGAAAGATAAAATTTAAAATTTTGGGTTGTCCAAAATTTTGGCTTTACCACTTGACCAATGCCACAAAAGTTGTGAGCAATGTGAGCAAAACATGGTCACAGCTAGCTGGGTCCTTTGAAATGTTGAAGCCCACTTAATGCATGCTGTCTAGTGTAGCCTACGAACATTCACTTGTGAACACAGGAATTGTAAGCACAGCAATGGAGGAAGGCCTAAAGTAAACAGTGAAAGAAAAAGGCGACAAACTCACATCCTCAAAAGCCCAGCTGGAATCCACAACTGGCTGAATTTTCTTCTTCTCGAAGAGGTCGAACACCTTGACAACCACCCCCTTGACGTAGTCGTGCATGCCTTGCTGGTAGAGCAGGTGACGCAGGTTGAAGCCAGCGATCACCTTGCTCTCGTCGTACAGCTTGATGGGGCTCACTTTGTCCACCTGCCACCACTGCACAGCACCGTTTAGAATGGATCAATCAGTACCTCCAGTCGCAGGCATCGGCCAATGTGAGTGCAAGAGGATTGTGCCATCATTGTTACCATGCAAATGCTAAAGCAAATTTGGAGGGTTTATGCACCCTTTGAAGGTCCATAAACCTTCAACCTTCAGTGGTGAACCGAGGATTAACTAGATTGCCTGCAGATCTATTGACATCAACTGAAAGCTAAGATTGTATGTTCAAGGAGCGATGTACAGCCAACAAATTTATGCATAATGCTCCTGTTTCTGAGGAGCACCAGTGTATTGGCACCTCTAATGTTAGTTCATAGCTGATGAGGTGAGGCCCATCAAAGCCCAGCAAAAAGGTGGACATAGAGAGCATTAAGAAAGGTAAAAAGTTGTCCTGCAGTTTGTTTTGCTAGGGGTGTGACTGGCACAGTATCACGCTTTAACACTTAGGAGCCAGTATGTTATGGCTTCCCCTCAGTCCCGAGGGTACGATTGACACTGCACTAATAGATTTGAGCCACTAACAGCACACCTACGTCCAATGAAAGAGTTGATAAGCACTCCCTGAACCGAATTTTCCATACTACAGGACTGCCATAAGCAGCAGCCGCTTCCCTTTTTTTTTATTAACACTCTTGTGATATGCACTTGGGACAATTTCTGCACACCCCCTTCCCACGCATGGACAATAACGGCCGATGGGTTGCTTCCACAGACCTGCTCCCATAAGCGGAAGATGAACCAAACAGTGAAAAATGAGCAATTGGAAGGAATGCCGAGAGGGGCAGCCACTAGGATGCTCCAGCCTGAATATTGTCTACTTATTTCCTGATACAATTTCTGACAGCTATGCAAGCAAAAACTTTTGTTCTACAAAATATTAGAAAACCCTGCACTTGTTTCCACAAACTGGAATATTGGCAAAGAATTGCTTTACCACTGTAAAAAATGACAGCTGATTAAAAAAAAATAAGGCACGTAAGGGCAGATGGCTAAGCTGCCATCTCGTTCGCCTGAATCGGTGAAGGGGGTGTTCCTTGAGTAGGGATGCTTGCGCAGGAGTTTTATATAACAAATTTTTCACCACTCGATGTGAATTTAAGTATAGAAAGTTTCGTAAGGAACTAATACCAGCTTGGAGAACTTACAGACTTGGCGAAGCTGAAGAAGCTCTTGGTTTCTCCAGCAACTATGCAAGAGGTCCCTGGAATAAGAAATTGCACATCACAAGAACATTAATTGGCATGAAGAACAGTGTATAGTTCACTATTTTAACAGCACATACTATCATACAGACCACAGAGCCATGCACACAGGTGCAAAATGATTGAAGCTAGGGTAGTTGGTACACTGGTTTGTTGGATTTGTCAGTCTTTTGCACGTCAAAAGTATAAATAAGGATGTACCTCCTACTTGAACTTAATGTAAAAAGAACACAAAACAAAAAAAGCCACGTGTCACTTGAGGGAACCCACCATAGAGAATGTATCTTCCCAGGGGCTTCAGGAGACCATAACCCTTCTTGCAATCTTCACCACAAAGGCAATCCAAGACGAGATCTACTCCATCAGGGGAGATTCTGTGTTTGGAGTAAATAAGAAAAATCAATGACTGCAGAGCCACATTGAAGAGCAGCAGAAAATGAGCTTACTGCACCGCCAAAGATTAGTGTTTGGCATTCAATTACGGCAACAGAATGCTCGTATGCTCAGCATTGCTAGGGGAGCCATTCCCAGCACAGCCTCACAATTACACTGACCTACAAATGTGTGCCTCATTTCGAAATCGAGTCGACAGCCGTCCCTAGCACAAGCCACGGAGCCCATGAGCACTTATCAACTTCCACTGCTTTTGCACGCCTCCCACAAGGTACAAGTGAAGTAATGGCATAAAGCATGTCATGAATGCTTCAGAATAAGAGCAGGAAAATAAAGCAACAAGGGACTAGTGAAGCATCTAGGTTACCATTTAAAGTGGCCATTAAAAGGGAATCTGGGAATATTAAATGTGCAGAGGACGACACAAGAAAAGCACTTGGTGTGTATTATTTACCGAACTAGCTCATCACATTTCGGCCCAATCAACATCCCCAGATGGTATCTTGGGCCGAAGGCTCTATTGTGCAGTAAACAAATAAAATAATTACTAGAGTAGTCTGCAGGCCACAGAAGTACGAAACAGGACACCCAAGCCACTACAGCTGCCTTTCAGTCCTATGGATTTACAAAACATTTAATAACAATTTATCACAAGAAATGAGGTAAAGAGGCAGAAAGGAATATTTGTGCACACACCTAGGCACACTAATGTTTTCACAAGGAACATGGTACAATAGCGATCATTTTGATCCCTATAAAGTGTAGAGTAAGAATATCTAGCCAGAAGCCAAGCACAATTTTTAAAAGACATCATAAAGCCTTTTACAAGTTAGTTCATATTTACAAAACAAGATACTGAAATTTTACATAGTCAGCTTCGTTTTGCACTTCCAAGTCTTCATCTGATGTGGCAAAAATGTCCAAAGCAAGAACCCACTCTGGGCACTTCTCAGAGGTCCAAGGAACAATGAAAATCCCTTCCCAGCCCACTCCTGAATGCAAGAGAATCTGCACTCGCAACAAGCAAGGCAGATCGCACCGCTGACAAGCATAGTCAGCGCACCGATGTCGCACATTACTCAACTCGCGCAGCAATATTGTCCTATGTTCTGCACTGCACGGAGCATCGATTGTGTCAGACAGTGTCTCCCCCGACGTTCTCTGCTTGCATTTGCACTGACAGCCTCGCGAAGATAACCGATTCACAAAAACGTGCGACTGAGCCACCGAGAGTCAGTCTGATGTTTTTCCTTACTTCCCGTCCGAATATTCTTTCCGTTCCTAAAAGTCATTCCACAGCCCTAACAAATTTTGCAAGAACTTCACATGCTTTTTTTCACAGCAACGAGTACAAAGGAATCTGTTGGCAGCACATACGAGCCACTGCGCTGCGGTACTTGCATTGCCACTTTTGATCGACCACGCTACCACGCCCATGCTGCTTAAACATTCCCAAGCTCAGCGCAGCACTCACTTGGTCACTTCCTGGGCATAGTCCGAGCTGTGGTCCAGGAGGTGGGTAACCAGGTTGGTGAGCGCATCATGCTTGTTCTTCGAAGCAGTTCCAATGAGGGTCACCTCTGGCACAGTCTTGCACAGCTGCGCCACTGCATGGCCCTGCCAAGCAATGTACGAGAAACCGGTTAGTGGTGTCAATAGGCGTAATAAAATCAACAAGGGCGCGATGCGACCAACTAAGTGGTTCCAGGATTTGGCGATAAAAGAAGGTAGTTACTGTACTTTGAAACCACACCTGAAAGTGACAATATTTTTGCATGCCTACGTTTTTCGTTACTTCCAAAGAACCCGAGTCTTCCTTTGCAGCATTTTCTATTAACCTATTCGCTTCCGAAGCCGGCGATCTACCGGCCACTGCAAGAAAGTCCAAAGTGTGAAAAAGCTGAGATTCGCCGGTCTTCGAAAAAAACATTTATAAGTAGGTGGATAGATGGTGACTAAATGTTTGAAGAGTGTTCAGTACTCAAATAGACATACATGTCTACTTTTTATTGTATATTCTGGAGGGAAAAGGAAGTTTTTAGGAGTTTTTGTATGGAAAACATGGCGTCTCTGAGAAGAAATCTCAAGTGGGGAAATTCTTGAGCTGGTGTTTGACAGCGACTAAGATGACTGCCAACCTGGAGTTCACCATGGACTACGAAAGTAGCGACAGTCCCGATGAACCCGAGACATGGGATTCTGAAGAAGCAGACAATTCTTCGTAATCACGTGGCATTTCAGTTGTTTCGCTGCCGAATCAAGAACATGATCACATGATGGTGTTCGTAAAAACTTCTATAATTTAGGCTCGTAACTATGTGTCATACTTCTCATGACGGCCCATTAACACTACTGTTGAGACCGGTTATAACGAAGTCTGTTATAACGAAATAGCAGATATAGCGAAGTGATTTCCAATTCCCCTTGAGTTCATTATAACCGGTTTCGACAGTATCAATGGTTCTGTACCACAAGAGATACATTTATATTCCAAAACTAAGCGAAAACGACATAACACCAACACAGCTACGAGCCCAGTGAAATTGAAACCAACCAAATTGAAGCAGTCTTACAGCGCCGCGTGTGTCAGCGCCCTATGTCCACCGGTCAGTTAGCTATACCGAGATGAAAAGGCCTATAACCACTCATACAAGACATTCAAGCTACATGATAATGAAATCCGGAATAAATGCCAGGCGTCTTGGAAGACTGTATGCCACTGCCAGTGGCAAGTGGGGAATTTGTATTTGTATTACTAATTATAAAAACATTTTCAAGACAAATTTGGCACAATAAGACTTCAATTGTAAGGCGTTTAAAAAAACAAAAAAATTGGGAGTGTCAGTGGCCCTCGAAATGCTAACCCCACTTATCCACTTGCTGTTACATGCAAAAGGAGAGCCACTGATATTCAGATAATTATTCAGCTAGTAAATGGCTTCAGCCTTTTATCAGCCAAATATTCAATTATAAGAGCAAACCATCCAAGCCGGTTACTGCTACTGTCAACTATTTGCGAAGAATTGCTGAAGTTTTACAATGTCTTTCATCCAGTTATTGGCGCAAGTAGTCGGTGTGAAGCCGCAATAAGATTCAAACAAAACTGAAGATGCTCACCACACCACCACCAACGGAGTGGACAAGGACAGTCTGTTTCTCCCGAAGGTTGCCGATGTCGAACAGCAGCGAGTAAGCCACCACATAGTTCATGAGCACAGCAGCAGCATCATCGAAAGTCATCGAGGCAGGCAGCACATATGCGTGCTTAGCTGGAACTGTCACCAGCTCAGCCCAGGCCTTGTACTCTGCAAAAGCAGCTACACGATCGCCGACCTGAAAGTGTACGTAGAACCTGTTGAGCTTAATAAATTAATAGGTGACATTCGGCAGTACAGTTTATCCCTCTCAAAGAGGCTGGTCCCTGAACTCCCTATTAACCACTTGAAATAGATTAAAGCAGTGGAAGAACATTTTTCAAAGTTGAGAAATCAAGGCCATTGAAGCTCCGAGCGAAATACCGACTGAATGTGGCCAGCTAACAGCTAATTTGTACAGCATGGAGAACTATCTAGAAAGAACCATGGCATGAAATGAGCACAGTTGCATAAGGCAATTTTGACTGAAAACAGGTGCTAGCTGTTAAATTAGTAATTGAACACTTGTAGGTCACTGCATGTGTTCAAAACAAGCTATCATTGTGAACTCCCGACATGGGCAAGCCAATGCTGAAATGTACATCTGATTGGTCTAGGGCATAAAACTGAGGGGAAGAAAATGAACTCCCTACACTGCTGCATCACGTCAAAGCAGGTTTATGCCAGTAGAAACTGGTGGAAATTGCATATTCCTTTTTGGTTAGAAGGCAAGTGGATCAACTGCCATTTGATACTTTGCTAGTGAAGTGCAGAATGGTGATGCTTTTAGGCCACTTTTCCTGCAGATTCACAGGATAATACTGAAGACAATAGCAACAGAAAGTAACTACCTTGAAGTCTGTCACTCCTTCACCCACAGCTTCAACTTCTCCTGAACACTCGAAGCCCATGATGAACGGAGTCTTGGGGAGATTGTCAATGGCTCCCTGACGAACCATCAGATCCAGGAAGTTCAGACCACTGGAAGAGAACATTCCACATTTGAAACATGTAAAGTGGGATGCATGCATTTTTTATATAGTTCTATTGTACCTAGTACAACAGGCAGGAGCAACAAGAATATTTAACAAGCATTCATACCTTCCATCATATTGAAAGGAATGCATAAGACCTGCCCTGAGCATAAGGCAAAGAATGGTTGACTGCGGCACAATAGTACATTTCAGACAATTGCCTATGTCAGCTGTGGGGAGGAAAACCACCATGCAGCCTGAATGAAAAAATTTGCCTTCTGAAGAAGTGTACACAACAACCTCCAGCCAAGTGCTTCGAGTGGGTCTTTATATTGTTAAGGAGGTTGTACATAGAAGCAGGACCCCCGACATGTCAGCACAACCACTGCAAAATTAGCCAGAGTACCACTATCCCAAAGGATTAAGTAATTAGGAGCAACTGAAGAGGCCAGTCCAACTTTAGCAGAACCAACTTGGTTATTCAGCGGGCAAACTAAGCTGGCTCCTGGCAGTACATCCAGATCTTTGGAACCTTAACAACTGACCATTAAAATATCAGCAATCAGGTAGCAAAGTAATGCACACAAAGCTTTTGAAGCATAGCAATGCTTCAAAAACTGCTTGCAATTAAATTGGGTACATTTATTCAGAGGAGACCCTTGTATCTTATATACGGTAAAAGTTTCTTCAGGAAAAATAAAAGCCCGACTGGGGCGTACTTTGAGACAGCATCGGCACAGAGGGGCAGGGCCAGCAGCAGAGGAAGTGAGCTGGGAGGAAACTGCCATCCTGGCACTATAAACCTTTCCATGGCTTATCACCAGGACAAAAAATGCCAGAGCTGTGGATGCAAGCTCAGGATTTGATGTAGCGCAGAGCTACAGCCAGGCACGTAGCCAGGTTTTTGTTCCAAGGGGGGGCATGGGGGATTTACGACAAAATGGTGTATGAGGAGGAGGGGGGAGAGGAGGCCCCAGCAAAATTGAAGATTTCGGAGGGGGGGGGGGGGGGGGGGGAGGGCCCCCCCCCCCCCCCCCCTGGCTACATGCCTGGCTACAGCGCATGCATTTCACAGCCCAGCAGACAGATGGCAACATGCATAAGGCGATTTTTTCCCCAGCAGACAGATAGCAACATGCATAAGGCAATTTTATCAAAGATCTAAACCTTTCCAGCGGCAACCTTGAACAAAGCTATTTACAGCAGGCGTCCCCGATTTTGAGAGTATGTCAGGTTGCCCAACTGCGTTGGGCTGTGGGTTTTTAGGGGCGAAGCTCCTTAGGGTCTAGCCTTGTCCATCTGGCCAGCGGCGTCCATGCTCACATGAAGAAAAAATGTTTGCGCAGTCGACAGGATTCGAACCTGTGCAGGGAGACCCCAATAGATTTCTAGTCGAAGCTGATCCGCTAGAACAGTGGTCGGCAACATTTTGGCGAAGCGGGCCGAGTCGCCGCTAAGCCAAGGCGGAACGGGCCGGACGGCAAGCAGCGGGGGGGGGGGGGGGGGGGGGGGGAGTTAAAATTAAAAAAAAAAAAAAGCACTTGCACAAACTTACATTGACTTACATAAATCGAAAATGAACAGTTTCTTTATTTCACGACAAACAACATGAGATACGACATTTCCACGAAACCCTAGAGACTCCTCTCAGTGAGACTTTTGGTGTTGAACTGCGCTCGCCAAACTACGAACATCCACATTCAAGCTGCTAACTGCGAGTCGCAAAACATTAGGGGGGTTTTCATCAGTCATTCGTGAGCGGAAGTTGGATTTGATACACTTCATTCGTGAAAAAGTCTGCTCGCAGTCGGACAGCAAATTAGTCAACTTTACTTTTTTTTTTTTTTTTTTAGCTGACTGCTTAGGGGGGGAGGGGGGGTTACCGGGAGGCTGAGGGCCGTATGATACTACCTCGCGGGCCGAATGCGGCCCGCGGGCCGCTGGTTGCCGACCACTGTGCTAGAAGAATCACTGGCTCCGTATTTCACCGACTATAAAGCAGTAATAATGAAGTCAAAACGCAACCCGGAGCTCAGCACTACCTATGAGCAATAAAAAAAATCAGCACCATCAGCACTATCTATGAACAATAAAATCAGTATCATCAACACCACCAGAGCCTCGCCCCAATCAACATTATTCACCACGTGGAGATGCGGTCATTTTTTTTTTGTCAGTGGGCTGCGGCAGCCTGCTTTGGACGCAATTCCAGACACTGGTGGCGGCTAAATTGCAGTCTTATTTTTTTTTGTGTTCTGTGGTGAATAGAATTTAGAGGTTTTTAAGAAAGCATTGCACTGTTCTTGGGAACAAGAACGAACAAATGAAAGCTATTTTTGGCAAGTTCGTGCATAACAGGAAAAATGCAAGTTTAATGTTTTATTCTATACCGACTTTACAACACCATACACTCACCCATGTCAATCAACAAAGGTCTTAACTGTCAAAAATATATGACCACACAGGATAGCCGAAATGCATTGGTGTTCCCCGCTTACAATGCGATATTCAATTAGTCAATTTAGCAACATTGTATGTACACCACAGTGCCACATTATCCAAAGAGGATTTGAGAAAGGTCGCAAGTAACATATCCAATATACAGTGTCTACGACAGTCACCTCACGACAATTGGAATCCAGCTTGTTTCGGGGCATTTTTTTTTTAAGAGTTGCGGTTAGTTAGCACAGCATATGAATGAACGTGCCTATTCTGTTGAAGTACCCCAGAGCGGACCCTATCAGCCATTTTTTGCTAAGATTGAGAACGATGCTGGGAGGGCTTTCCGGAGGTTATTTCAACAAAAATAATCCCCGAAGAATGTCTAATGGCCCGCGTCGCAGGCTGCTTGACGTTCCCTCTCGTTTGTTTCCTGCGAAGGTTAAGTAGGCTACGAGCTTTGGTATTCCCTGGTTCTCACACTGGAAGTGCAAATGAAGGGTAAGCATCCTGAACACGCAAAGAAAGTATAGAAACTTGCAAGAAAAGCCAGCAAACACCGAAAGCACAATGCAGGTGACCGGGTTTCCACAGCTAATGTGGGTGGTTAAGTTTCTTGCTGATAGGGGTCACTGGAGTGGCAAAATGGCGGCAGCCAGAGAACCCGTGCAGTACCAGATTGGCTTTTCGGAGAGTTAATGGGGGACAGCGGGGTTTCACCGCTAAGCGGTGCATACGGGTGGGCCAGGCGAGTTAAAATTTTTTAACGAGTCATCCGCAGACTGTCGCCGCGAAGCGGCGTGAATGCAGGCCGGGGGAGGGTGGGGGGGGGGGTGTTAACACGCGACCAGTCCCCCATTGCGCTTCCGAAAAGCCGGACCCGTGCAGTACAGCCGAAGCCACAAGAGAGTGTACCCAGACCTGTTCAAGAGGAGGGAAAGGAACACGGGGGGGGGGGGGGGGGATCAGTCTTCTTCCGTTCCTGCTTTCCCTCCTCCTGAACAAGTTGGCATACGCTCCCTCCCCTATAGCTTTGGCTGTACTGCACGGTTTTAGTGAGACTGAGGCGGCAGTCACTGCAGCAGTTTTTCGGGAAGACGGGTCCGGTATTTCTGTTCTTTCCCCTTCTCCCTGGTTGTCACTTTTACAACCATGCCAGGTAGTTGGCGTCCGAAGGAAGAGCTTCTGAACCAGATTCGAAACTCGGCTCTCATCAATATTTGTCGCGGCGTCGCACCATCCCTCACGTCATACGGGTGCGCCAACAGGGCAGCCGGTAAACCGGAGCAAACGAAGCGGCGAGATCCTTCCGACTAGGGCGGCAGAACGCGCCCGTCTCGCGTCCAGGGCGCCGGGCTGACAGAGCCGCAGCAGCAGGCAGGCAGGCAAACGCCGCGGCGGCTCGACAGCTGCGCGGGTGCCAGCCGTTGTAAATCTGCCTGCAGCCCAGCAGACGCCCTAGACACGACTCGACGTAACGCGAGCGACGTGCAAGAGAGATGAACGAGGGTAGGAACGAGGGCATGCAGAGCACGACACTGCACACGTCTTGCAAAGTGCTCATTCGATGAGCAAAACCGCGCTAATGGTGCGTTCGCGTGAACTGTCGCGCAGTATGAAAGACAGCCTGCCACGGGACCACGCCAGACATCAAATGCCTCGAGAGGCGCCAAGGGTTACATCCGAACCCCCTCAACTTCATCGGCGGAGTAAACTACAGAAAAAGTTAGCTGGGAAAACTTCAGTCTATTCCATCTCAATCTGAGCTCAAGTTAGCGAGGCAAAGCAAAAATGCCGCAATGACGGGCGGCAGATTAAGGACTAATCCTCCCACGACCTGCCAGACACCCGCCGCATGTCAGTAACAGATCCGAGCGAGCGCAAAGCCGGAGTTGTTGCGAAAACAACGCCCCGAGACTTGCACCTCGAGTGCAACCAAGTGCAACTCGCAAAGAAAGCTGTGGGAAAGTAAATTTCGACACCACACGTAGTTATGAATACTACCAGCGGAATCGTACTCAACGCTCTCCGCAACCCGTTACGAGAACCGAAACTACGGTCAAGGCCAGCGCCGCGCATGCGCACTCGCGGAGTCTTCGTTGCGGAGAGCTTAACGGAGTAGCGAAAACGATCTACCAAAACTCTTCTATGTCGGTTCACTCACGTGAACCGCTTACCGATGACATCGATAGAGTGGTTCCACTGCGACCATCAAGCAGCCCGGCCCGCACTCGAGGAATCATGGGAATGGTGTTCCTTCAGCTCCCTAGTGACCGGTAATTTCGACGAATTCCATGGTTACGCAGTTTTGGGTGTAATTCGGAGTCACCCCAAACAAGCGTCGTGTAGTGCCCAAGGACTTAAAAATGCTCGTCAATGTCAGCATTTTCGATACTGTGCATGCTGTTCACCCTGAACCTCGATGAGCTACAGAAATCTTGTCGTTCTTGTACAGCTTCAAAGACGCTGGTATTAAGTTAGAAACGCTAATGAAGGCACCCTAATATAAAGCCCGGCTGACTCCGAGCTAAATCCTGGTTTTTGTTGTGAATTCTCGGCTTTTTTAAG